AAAGTATTGCAAATTCGACGAAATTCTACCAGAATTTAGGAAATTCGGGAAACTGTCCACTTTTGCACCTCTTATGACCTCCTTGTAAATTTGGAATCAAAATTAGTGCTAGTTTTAAAACAAGCACGCGTTATGAGTAGGCTGTCCGAAGGCTTAAAATGCCTTAAAAATATACATTGTTTAATCTAGAGTTTAATTTTTATATGTCATCTTTGTTTGAAATTGCAGTCAACTTGAGATAATAGTTTCATCAGGTTTTATTTCAAAGCATTTTTGTGATGTCACATGCTTGTGTTGTACACGTGACGGAAATTTATGATATTCCTATTTGTTGTACAAATATCGCGTCGGCACGAGTGCAAAACAAAACTAGTGTGCAAAGCTTGTAACATAGATTAATTCATCATGATCCCTGGTACATAGAAAGTGCTGGGAAAGGTTTAATTTTCTCCTTAAGAAAATACTTTACGAGAAATTCAACTTACCAACATAAGAAAGGGTATTTTCCACTCTTTATCGCGATTTATACATGTACAAAATTGGATAAACTACACAAAATCCCCTAGCAAAATTCAGTTAGAGGACATACTTTTCTTAAAGATTCACTCAGAATATCTTCAATTTTTCCTTGTTTATTATTTGTGCCAGTCCAATATATAAACACAATTCATAAATTCTACTTTGTCTACGGATATGTAAGGGGAGCGTTTCACACATAATTTTTCGTTATTGTTTGAATATGTGCATATCAGACAAGCGAAAAGAATATGAATATTTAAATTTCAAATGTTCAACATCATAATAGCACACTCGAGCTTAAAAAACAATCCTAACACTTGAATTAAACAACAAGTCCCCATAATAAATCTACACGCCATGTAAAAATTATAACATTTTCCTTGTCATGTCAGCTCGAGTATGCAGTGACTTGACGTCATATTCTATTATGACGTCATATCTAGGTAGTTCAGAGAAGCTAGTACAGTTTGAACAGTTTGATGTTTTACGGGCAGCCATATCCTAGCTGCGATCATTTTAAGGTTTAAGATGGAAGGTTCAATTTACAAAGACAGGGAAAGACAATATATTCATTTGAAGTTAACTCACATCAGGTTGTTCGCTCATTTAAATTTCATTCAACATTATTTCATGAATAGTGAACGTGGATCATCAGGTTAAAAAATGTATGTGTTACAATGTAGGTACATCTATAGCAATAACATAACTACATTAGACAAAGACATGTTCCTTGGACTTCCAAAATTAAAGGCCCTGTAAGTATGCAGAATATTTTTTAGATAATTCAATTCTGGTAATGTGGATAATGCTTAATTGAGTTTAAACATGTATTTTGGTCTTCGTTGATTATGAAATATTATTTTTAGATTTGATATAAAGAACTTTTATTGCTTTATGTAGATATCAGAATTTAAAGAGATATCACACATTAAAACTATGATAGTTTTATTTGTTAAAGGTCGGTGGACAGGAATCCTCTGCATTGTGATTGCATCTTAGCCGATTTTGTCAGGTTTGCCCAATCAAGAAACTTAAAGTTAGGACGTTTTTCTGAACCAAGATGTACAACTCCCAGTAATCTGACAGGAGTATTGTTACGGGATCTCTCCTCAGAGGATATGAAATGTGACGTCACTAAAGCAACAACACCAGTAACGGAAACATCAGGTAAAATGATTATTTTTATTCAATAAAAAACACTGAATTGTCTGTACTTAATAGCACTCCTAGGCATTATCTATGTTTATAGGTGTAAAAGCGAATAAAACATTAATTATCAAAACGCCTACATCTCACCTACATAACTTATCTTTATTTGTTAATATCGTTTATTTTTCTATGTATGAATAATTATCTACAGAACTAGGAGTTAAATTAAGCTTCACATTCATCCTGGAAGGTAAGATTGCTGTTACTGTTACCAAACATGGGGAAAAAGTGCGATTAGCTATGAAAATGGCTGGAGAAGGTTCTCCCTCAATGAAAATCTGTAAAGGGGTCTCTTATTATTGTTAATATTGAAAATTAATTTTCTTGTCAATAGTTTTGTTGGGTTGAGGTTCCAGGCTGATATTGATGATTACTGGAGGCCTGGTATACTTCACAAAACTACAAAAGGCATTCTATAGCTTACAAGAAAGGACTTTAGACTGAAATTTAAGTAAAGGGGATTGAGCAATTGTTTTCCAGCACTTAATTTAAAATTTAAAAAAATTGTCAGTTGCACTCCTTTAACTTGATTTGTGACATAAAAAAGCGTCTGATTGCTTTATTTTGTAATTTGCTTTGGGAAAGAACAAACGCAGATGTTCGTGAGTTTTTAAACTTTATAAATAATTTTGACCATTTCCTTATTTTTAAACACGTTTTAGAGAATTTCATCGAACAAGTGTAGATATATAGACTTCTGGATCCGTTCCCGAATTAATAATTGCTTGTACATTGTAGATACTTACTTGCGCTGTGCGTTAAAATTTCAAGTACATGTTATTCCTAATGTTTGTAAAAATAATTAGTATCACTATGAAAAAGTGGATGTTTGTTGGTGGCATAATTTGAATTAAAAACTTTGGTTATCATATTAATTTGTTCATCAAGAAAAGAATCTAAAAAGGATTCGCAGACATTTTGTATTTGTTCAACCATGTAAAACTTTTTTTTTATATTTGCTGGATCAGTTATGTTGTACATGTTTATTTCTGATTAAGTAAATCGTTTGTACGGAAATACAAAGCATTATTAGGAAAAATGTGATTCCTTAAAATTATATTTTTTAACAAAAATTATATCAGTTATATCTTCACATTACATAATGAATCCAAAATTACACAAATAGAAAAAAAAATGAATTATTTAATCAAATAAAAGTTGAAGGTTACACATGAGCGAGCAATTTTTATTTATTTATTTGTTTTTATTTTATTTTTATTTCATTTCATTATTTATTTATTTTGGTGAAATAGGGATAGAAATGAAATATAGCAATAAGAGAATAAGGTTTATCAAGCAGTATGCAAAATTATGTAGGTCGAATCTATCTCATATGGAGTCGAGCAAAGCCGATCCAATTTGAATTAGATGATTCCTGTTCCTATTTACGCTCTTTGATGTCGTTGACTGTCAATTGAAATTGAGTGACACACAATATATGGTAGTGACTGTTTGACTAATCATTACATTTAATGGTTGTTAAAAAAACAACGTCTGTTCGAATACTTTCGTTATCTCCACATATTTATGCATATGACTGACTTTTATCACCGTAATGAACTTCATTTGCTGCACGAAAATGCGCAGAATTGTGTATCTTGACTGAACACGTTAATCCGCGGAATTTGACCAAGTGGAAGTAGTTAAATGTACGGTGTTTTTCGATATTAAGCAATGCCAGAGACTGAATGATTAAATGCTGGAAAGAAACTCATGAAAATACCATTTTATCCTTCAGGTAAGAATGAAAAACAAAATCTTTATTAAAATGGAAATCATTAAAGCTATTCAAAAGCAAAGACAGAGAGAGAGAGAGAGAGAGAGAGAGTTCTTTTATCAATCAATCACATAAGACGATTTATGGAAACGGGTCGTTTTTTTCTAATAAAACTGATAAATCAAACAGCAAAAAAAAAAAACAAAACTTTATAATAGGAATAAAATATCTTAATTATTAATTCAATATGGTTTGTCAAATTATTCGTCAATAAAAGCGATCCGACTAGATTCATTATCTTTTTAATCGTGACTTTTCTTGTTAAGAAAAAAAAATGATTCACCTCGAGGGGATTAGTTACCTTTCAGGTAAGATTTCAATTTAACAATACTTTATTCAAAGCAGCAGTGTTGTGTCATAATTGTTTTGATTAAACAATATAAAAGGACGATAATAAACCCGTAGACCATTATTATTATTATTAGTAGTAGTAATACAAATATTTATAAAACGCCATATATGTATATTTATTATAAAACAATCATTCTAAAGTAGTGTACAACAAAGTAAATATACATTTATAAAAATATGAAGACAATATAAGGAATAAAATAATATTGAATAATTTAATTTTAGTTGTAACACGTCATTTGATTAGGCAAAAGATTTTATCCATTTCGTATAGCATAACTTGCCTACGTCACAATGAGTTACGTCATTAACGTATTACTCCGCTTCGCGGTTTATAAAGTGTAAACTGCCCCAAGTTATATTATATCGGATAACTTAAGTTGAAATGTTTCATTTCTTAAATGTCATAGGATATTAAAATTTGGTATTTATAAAAAAAATTTAAAAAATTAAAAAAGTAGAAAAAATGTGATGAATAATAAGTTTTGAAATAAGAAAAAAAATATATAAATACAACTGAGCAGAAAAAAATCTTGATATTAAGATAACATATTAAAGAGTCACAAATATGCTCTTGCATAAATCACAATTCCATAAAAGTCTATAATAACACACCAAAGATGAAAATTGTATCAAATTTCTCCATGAAAAAAGTGGGTTGTAAGATATTTTAAAAAGTGTGAATAGATGGATATGAAAGCAGATATGAAGGTAATAAGGCCAGAGGGATGCTGCACAGCCACATTAAAACGTCTGTTGCCATACATTGCGGTCTTTGCAGTATCAGCTAGTTTGCTGATCTAAAGGAACGGCCAGGTTCATAGATGTTGATGAGCTCTACAATGTATTTTGATACCATGCATCTTATAGCTTTGATTTGTAATAAAAAGATTTTTATACTGGATGCGTTTCTCGATTGGAGGCCAATGCATAAACATAAGAATAGGAGTAATGTGCGTCCTTCCGGTACGGGTAAAATGATATTTGCCGCTATATTCTGTATGCACTGCAATTCGATTAGATCAAATGTATTAATACCACAGAGCATGGAGTATAGAGCATTAGCATAGTCGAGCCTAGACAACATACGAGCAAAATTCCTCCGTAATCATTAGCCGTTTGTAGCAGCACGCACGAGACCGAGGTTCTTAACACTGGTTGTCTCCCTAATGACGGTGTCATTAAAGTTCAGATGGTGAGATGGAGAAGTTAACTTGATGTTTAGGAGCAAAAACTATAAAGTGTGTTTTATCCTCATGAATTTTTAGCATATTGGTGCACATCCACTTCTCGATTTCTTAATTATCAACTCATTTTCCTTACAAGTATAATTTTTAGTATATTGCATAATAAATTTTAATTTTATTACGGTTAACGAATTTTGTTATAAATGATAGAATTTAAACAGGTAAGAATTTTATATGTTCAATTACATTTGATTTTGTTTATGCATATATATTTCAGTACTGATTAGTTCTAAAAATTGGAATTTAATTTCAGATTTGGTTTTGCTTAACATTCTTTTGTTAAAAGAAGTATCCTTGACAAAAACTCATGAAAATGCATGTAATTTCTCATTGGAAGTAGACAACAATGTTTAATATTACATTCTAACTTCACTCACTTGGGTAGTACTACTACATATATCACTTTTCTTTTTCTTCTCCCTGTTTTCTATTTGTTTTAAAGGTACGTATCAAAATGAAAATGCACATGGCGATTTTTTTTTTCATTTTTGCTGTTCAATTCATTTCATTCCAATAGTATAGAGAGAGGAGTGAGGAGAGAAAGGATGAATATTTATATTGCGTGATTTTATATTTGTTTTATATTTGCTTTATAAACTGAGCTGAAATGATGTATATTCGCGAGGATTGTATTGATGATTGCAAATATGAATTAACACAAATTGAACTATAGAACAAACTTTCAGAAAACGATGTTCATTGTCTCTTGTTAATTCGAGCATAGCACGCATAGAAGAAAACTGTGAGTAACATTTTCAGGTTTTCATTGAAATTGTAACGACTCAGTTAACCTTGAATTCATTTATCGGTTCAAACATTTTAATGCCTCGCTTTTTAATTTAGTAACAAGGTCATGATCTGTAGTTCACAATTTTGTCTAGAATATATAACATATACTATTTTGTCTAGAATATAGAGATGATGTCCTGCATGCCAGCCTCAGGTTTTTGCTTTGTGTGATACAAGTATAATAAGTTCTACTGTAATTTTGGAGGCAGAAAAAATCCTGAAATTGTTCATGTATTTATTAACATGTATTTTGTCTGCACATAACTAATTTTGCTTATTTACATGTAACAATAACTATTCAGCGTATTATTTACTTGTAAGCCTACAAAATTTTTTTTTTTTATTATTTTAAAATTACTCTTCTGATATATAATTTCAGAAGTAAAACGAAAAGAGCTTCCTTTACAAAATTTATTTGATTTGATTTCAATGATGATTATATGATTATTGATAAGATTTTTTCTCAATTTTGAAAATTCCTTATTTTGTATATTAGACTAAGTATTGTTTGAAACGTCATTATTATGATACAATGCATCTTTTAAAACACTTTTTAAGCAAGGATCATGTAAAGTTGGGGAATCAATTTTGTCTCATTTATAATAAAGATATAAAATGTATTTTAGGCATCATAATCATGATTAGTGCTGTCCTCACATGTCTTTTGTCCTAGTATTCAGTAGTTTCGATTAACAAGAGGTATGTATATGAAAAGGGGGTTTACAAAGCGCTTTAATACGAAATATCTATAAATTTTCATCAGAGAAATGTTCATGGAAAAAAGATATAATTTCCGAAAATTTGTTGTAAATAATATCAACAGTAACAATTTTGGTTCATTTTTTATTGATCTACTTATTGACTGATTTTATATTGCTTTTAAAACAATTTAGGGTAAGCAAATTTTGCGGTGAATGTTTCAAATATGAATGGTTGAAGTATCTATTATACATTAAGGATTCTTTTAACTCGAAAATTAAAAAAAAGAAGAGGCCAAGGGGCCACAGCGCTCACTTGAGCACATCGGCTTAGAAAAAGCACATATCAGATCAGAAGTGAAGGTTTACTGAGGTAGGGGGGGCTTGAATTTTATCACCCAGAGGATCATTATTTGAACGAACTAGAATCTACACAACGTTAAGATGATTCCATATAAATATTACTGATATTATCATTGATTTGAAGTACTTGAAAAAAAGATTTCAAAAGGTTTCCCTATATATTCCTATGTAAAACTTAGGTTGGCCATTGTGGCCCCACCCCACCCCCGGGGTTCATGATTTGAACAAACTTGAATCTACACTACCTGAGGATAATTTCACATGAGTTTCATCTTTCCTGTCTTAATGGTTTTAAGAAGAAGATTTTTAAAGATTTATTTTATTTTTTCCTTTGTAAAAATTTGATCAGCCATATTGGCTCCCAGCCTACCCCCAGGTTTCACGATTTGAACACATTTGAATCTACACTACCAGAGGATGACTCCACATGAATTTCATACATGTATATCCTGGCCCAGTGGTTCTTGAGCAGACGATTTTTAAAGATTTTTCCTATATATGCCTATATAAACATTTTAACGGCCATTATGACCCCATCCTAGCCCCAGAGGTCATGATTTGAACAAATTTGAATGTATTCTATCTGAGGATGATTCAAGTCGAGTTTCATCTTTACTGTTCCTATGGATCTTGAGAAGAAGACTTTTAAAGATTTTTCTTACAGTTTATATTCCTTTGTAAAATTGAGATCGGCTATTTCGGCTCAATCCCTACCCCCGGGGGTTAAGATGATTCCATATAAATATTACTGATATTATCATTGATTTGAAGTACTTGAAAAAAAGATTTCAAAAGGTTTCCCTTTATATTCCTATGTAAAACTTAGGTTGGCCATTGTGGCCCTACCCCACCCCCGGGGGTCATGATTTGGACAAACTTGAATCTAAACTACCTGAGGATGATTGCACATGAGTTTTATGTTTCCAGGCCCAGTGGTTCTTGAGAAGAAGCTTATTAAAGATTTTTCCTATATACTCCTATGTAAAACTTTGATCGGCAATTTTGGCCTCACCCTATCCCCGGGGATCATGGTTTGAACGAACTTGAATTTACACTGCCTGAGGATGATTCCACATGAGTTTCATCTTTCCTGGCCCAGTGGTTCTTGAGAAGAAGATTTTTAAAGATTTTTCCTATGTACTCCTATGTAAAACTTTGATCGGCCAGTTTGACCCCACCCTACCCGCAGAGGATCATGATTTGAACGAACTAGAATTTACACTACCTGAGTATGATTCTATATTTTAAATATTACTAATTATGGATTTAAAGTACTTGAAATGAAGATTTTAAAGGTTTCCATATATATTCCTATGCAAAACTTTGGTTGGACATTTTGGCCCCAGCCTACCCCCAGGGATCATGATTTGAACAAAGTTGAATCTACTCTACATGAGGATCATTGCACCTTGGTTTCATCTTTCCTGGCGCAATGTTTCTTGAAAAGAAGATTTTTTTAAAATGCCATTAATTTTTCACTAATTCATAATAATCTTCCCTTGGTCCTTCATTTGTACGCATTTGAATCCCCTTCACCTAAGGATACTTTAAGTTTGGTTGAGATTGGCCTAGTGGTTCTTGAGAAGAAGATGAAAATGTGAAAAGTTTGCGACGACAACGACAACAACGACAGACGACGGACAAATTTTGATCAGAAAAAGCTGACTTGAGCCTTCGGCTCAGGTGAGCTAAAAATAATCATTTTATAATTCTTAAAATGGAGTTTTATCAAATTCTATAGGAAAATTTAACATTTCGGGGGAAAATGATAGGCCCCAACAAACTCATTTATTTCAAACCCACACTGACACAGGTAAACGATAAGAAGACTGGGAAGCGAGGTGCTAACTGCTTACAAAATTAATTATACCCACGATATCTTGGCGAGTACAAGTCATATGCATATGTTAATTTTTTTTTTTTTACAAATTTAAGTGAAAGATAAGTCTAGTCAGTGGATCAATATAATAAAGAAACCAAATTTGTAAATTAAAATATGATATTAACAGCAACATTTTACTTTTATAAACTTTCAAAATTGAAAAAGGTCCTAGAGCAGGAGAATATTCTCATCTTGTACGCTTCCATGTACACTTTTTCATGACATTTTTCAATTCTTCAAGTGTCGAAGTAAGTTATCAATATCTGACATCATAAAAAAATCATTAATATTTGAACTCCCCTAATCAAAGTTTGTGCCGCCTCAGCTGTTGGAAAAACAAACCCATGCATAAATGTAGCAACCAAGGAAATCAGTTACAAATAGACGTGGTTGTCAGTCCTTATTATACCAGAAAACTGATGTAAGAAATACGTCAGGTATTTAAAAACCCGTTTTCTTTCTCTATTTTTACTAAATAATGTTTGCTTAATGAAATTTGAAGAGAATTGTTTCCGATCATGATAAGGGACAAACGGCGGACGTCACTCGTCGGAGAAGGGGATGTTTACCCCTCCATGTCACCTGATCCCTCCGTTGAAGTTTAAGAAGTCTACAAGTGTATGTTGCTTTGCTCGTTAGTTGTATTGCTTGAATAATGTTCGCTATTCCAATATACTTAATTTTAATATATTTCTTTTTCGCAAGGGGTTTTTGTCTCTCTTTAGAATAAATCTCTCTGAATAGAATCCTGAATGCCATCTGGAAATACATGTATTCGATATACAACTGCATGCTCTACGTATGAGCAATTTCTAAAATGAGGTAAATTATTGACAAACAAGTTGATGAAACAAGAATATCAGTATTTTCGTTTAAAGTCATCATTTTTAAATTCTAAGTTCTATGGTCGATTCAATGACCTTATCAGCAAAAACAATTTATCACTGAGTCATGATATAATGCTGAACGACGTTTTTCATACTCATTAAATTGTTAGGCCATTATTTACACAGTGATTATCGACGGATTTTTCGTTATTTCCCAATCAAGACAAGGAGTACCCGTGACCCGTAGGTGTGACCCGTCGGCAGGGGATGCTCACTCTTCCATGGCACCTGATCCCACCTCTGATGTATTAGAGGTCTGTGTTTGCTCTGCTCCTATTTTGTATTGTTGTATGAACTTTGAGCTTGAAAACTGTTTGTTATCTCCATATATCTCATGTACAAACATCAGGAACCAATTTGCTTCAGTTTTGAATTAAATTTAGCCCGTTTAAAATTTAGAGACCCAGAATTGTACTTTAGCAGAGCCAGACGACACACCCCAAAATCCTGTGTGAGCATTTTATCTACATGTACTTCTGTACCAGGTTTGTACTTAACGTTGTTAAACATCAATATGTGTTGAAAGTTTATATTTATTATAACTAATAAATTTTCTTTCCTTCAAAGATTAACTTTCTTTCTCTAAATTTAACTTCTATCAAAACTATGCATTATTTTTAAAGGTGTATCTTAGAGAACTACTGGATCAAGACCAGGCGTGAAAATATATGGATGAGCAGTATTAGATCAGTGATTAGATACAAAGATTTAACCGAGAACAGACATGAAAAGAAAAGAGGAACACGACTGGATCAGTGATTAAATAAACAAAATTATTCCAGACCATGCGTGGAAAATATGGACATATTTGATCAGTGATTAGAAACAAAATTTTATCCTAGACTAGGCGTGAAAAGATATGAATGAGCACTATTGGATCAGAGATTAGATATAAAATTTTATCCTAGACCACAGGCGTGAAAAGATATGGATGAGCAGTACTAGATTGGTGATACAAAATGTCAACCAAGAAAAGGCGTGATGAAAAACAGATGTATGACATTACATCGAATTCAATGCGTTTTCACTCCGTAGCCCTTTTTCTATCAACATTTTGCTTGATTTTTTGGCGTTTAGATTTTAAAATTTATTTTTTTTTTACAATATTTGTTGTTCCTTCGTTTATTTATCTGGCTTTTTTGTCAGCCTATATTTTTCGTGAATTTGTTATTCATACTTTTTCAAACGTTTTTTTTTTTCTGTATTCTTTTCTTTATTTTAGTGCAATTAAGTTGTATAATTTAACACACTTCCTCGTATTTTTAAACTTTATTTTAAATATTTAAAACATACATATACATAAAATAAAAAAAAAACATACAGCAGCTGGAAGTATTGAATATTTCAAGAATAGCTAGGGCTGTTCAGAAAAATTTCGGACAACGTCAATGAGCAACACATAATAATATGTAGAAAATATTTACTTTGTTGGTGTATTTTGTTTTATAATTAAACAAAGAAACTTTTAATGGATTATTCTAAAATTAACTTGTTTTGTTTTTCAAGAAGCACATTTACAACATTGCAGCTTCAAAAACATGACGTAATGATTTTCTCCAAAATGCTATATACCTTGACATTTCACTCAAGTCTAGCTGGCTGGCGTCACACACACACTCTTTATAAAAACTGTATTTACCACTCGGCATTTAGTTGACTTATAACTGTTTTAGTGGCATTCATGTAGTAGGGTACAGTTTTTGTTTATAAAATGAAACAACAGTTCTAATTATGAACGTATAAATTGTCTTCGTTTTGTGTCGTTTTACAGAGTTATGACTACCCAAATATATACATATTAATCAATTGCATCCACTAAAGCAGTTTCAAATTTTGAGTAAATTCTCATGATAGATTGAAAATTTCATATTCAAACCATTCAAATTTATTTTTCTTAAAAAACGTCTACAAATTTATGAATGATATGACAGATAGAAGTCTTCGAACTTTTAGAAAAGCCTTTGTATATAATTGATATCTTAAGTCGTTGACAAATTTTGATTCACATACATGCATCTTTGAGTCTATCTTTTTATATACGTGGTTGCAGTTTAGCCATTTTTATACTCAGATATTCATTTACCTATTTAAAGTATCTGACAAAAAGGGCGTTAATTCTACGGATGTTCATTTCATCTATACATAGAGTTTTGTCACATGACGATGTTACAAACATGATGCCAATCTTCAATTTGGAACACTCGTAAATGCAGAATAAATCTTTAATTCAAAAAGATCACCAGAAGATTTTACCTTTCAGTATTGCACACAAATGAGAGAAATTTTAGCTACATTTTCAATTGTTCAAATTATTTTAAAATATACATTTTCCCGCAAATGTATAGCTACATTTAGACTCTAAGTTTCATCAGAGAGCTCGATTACCATCTCCCTTCCAATAAATTGCAATTTATACGCAAATATTACCTCTTATAGATTCCAAAAGGCGATGGGGAAAGAAAATAATTTTACACGGAGAAATATTTTCTTGCAATTTCATGCATGTGAAATTGATTGATATTTTGACAGAAGAAGAAACTGTAATTTTTAAAAAAAATAAAAATACATACAACAATGTTGAATTTCATTATCCAACGGGAAGTTTCAGGACTCAAATATTTTATTATGTACCAAACAGCTGTGCTAGCCCTAGCGGTGTCGCACTGTCAACATATTCCTTAAAATTCAATATAACAGGAAATTTATCAAAGACCTATATATGATTAACAAATGCTAAGTATTTAAGTTTAATGTTTTATTCGAGTTGGCAGGAATTGTCCACAGTGGTCTACACAACAGTGGGGCAGCCGGTGTAAAGACGAATAATGACCCCCATCGAATAATGACCGGGGGTCATTTTTCGACAGCGAAAAAAGACCCCCGGTCATTATTTGACGTAGAAAAATGACCCTTTTGCCCGTAGAAAAAGTGTCACTTCCCTAAAAATTTGCAGAACCCACCTGAAGAAAAATGACCCCCGTAGAAAAATGACCCCCTGTAGATTAAAGCTAAAATTTTTAGGGGGCAAAAAAAAATTGGATAAAGAAGCATATTGGCCAAAATGCTCACCTGAGCTTATTGGGAATAAACTGATGATATGTTGATCTCATAACATTATACAATTATAGCTATATTTTAAGGTAAATGCAATGATTCAGAATCTAAAGGAGTAAAAGATTTATCAAGCCTTAAGAGTTAGGTAAACATTGTTTTTTTGATGGTGGAAATCATCGAACTGACAGAAAAAATCAGAAGTATTATATATTATTATATCCTCCGCTTGAAAAGCGGGAGGGTATATAGTGATCGGGATGTCCGTCCTTCCGTCTGTTACGCTTTGAGGTATCCATCTCTTATCCGCAAATCCTCATATATAAAAAGATGTGTTTGTGAAACAGCTATGCCCCTGTATGGCAACATAGCGAAGATTAAACTTTTCTTAAATGCAATTTAAATATATTGTTACCCAAAGTAGGGTCTTTTCACAAGAAATACAACTGCAAAATAGGAAAGCCCTAGCACCACTTGTTCAAAAGTAATGGCTGAGGATAAGTTTTTGAAAGATAGGTCAAAGTAGATGATTTCTTAAGAAAATGTTTAATGTAACAAGGATTACATATGTGAAGTATGAATACCCTAGCCCTTACAGTTCAAAAGTTATGGCCAAGGTAAAAAAAAAACATAAGTACGGAAAACTCCAAGGTCAAGGTCAAAAGGTCATGGTTTTCAGTATCCAATGAAAGGTAATGCATAAAAACTACATATTTTAAGTATGAGAGTACTAGTATCTACCGTTTAAAAGTTATAGCCAAAGAAAAGTTTTTGCATTTTTGTGTAAAATGGGACAAACTCCAAGGTAAAGGTCAAAAGGTCAAATTTGGTGGTACCCAAAGTAAGGTCTTGTCACAAGGAATATACATATTAAATATGAAAGTCATAGCTCCAATAAATGAAAAGTTGTGGTAAAGGTTAAGGTTTTTGCGGACAAACAAACCGCCAGATAGACAGACGGACATACAGACGGACACGATAAAACTATATACCCCCGAATCTTCGATTACGGGGACATAAAAAGAAATGGTCTTCAATTAACTTTTCATATTAATATACATTATAGAGAAGAAGTTACAACAATGAAAATGTTTGTTCTGATTTTCATATTAATTTCTCTGAAAAAATATACTCAGAACTGAGTAAAAGGGTGGAGTAAAACAAGAATTAAGGTAGAAACTATGTCGGAAAAGTCTTTGTCACTAGATTTTCAAACTTTTCAAAATGATAAATTAGTACTTGCTTATCAATCAGTTAAGATATCATGATATGTTTCCTTGTTCTTTTAATCTAGAACAGGCTGTGAAACTTGGTATGGTATTTACATACTGCGACTTAACATTTTCAAATATTTTTAGGGGTACTTGTCATAAAGGGAATATGAAAAATCACAAAAATACTTCTTCAAACAACCTTGGAGATTTATGTCCTTATGAAAAAAACGTTGACCCTAACATATTCTTCCAAAAGATAATACTAGTAGAAGCAAAAAATCATTGATGTTAGCCATCAATTGTCGCCCTGTATATAAAAGATTTAAGGATGTATTCTTCTGATACCCGGAAAAAAACGTGCATTAAACTTTCCACATGCTTATATTTTTCTGGAAGTGTAATATCCAAGCAATAATTTAAAGACAAGAAAAGTGTATATTAGTGTTCATCTAAGAGAGATTCAACCCCTCCAACATTGGCCAAAATAGAGCATGGGAAAATTCATTAAAATAGCTATTATATCATAGAAATACCTCATTAACTTATAAATACAATCAATTTAAACCTAATTTGGCTTAGATTTATTTGAATGTATTGCAAAAATATTTTTTTAGCAAAATATGAGCATGGTTTTCTCCATCCAATTTTAGTGGATCTAAAAACATGCTCTCTTCTAAAGTTCTTCATTTGTGATTCTTGTGACAACAAGACTAATCTGAAAAAAATATTTTAGAAAAAAAAAGATTATAATTACTGGTAATTTCATTGTTCAAAAAATGTAAAATCATTATTTTGTCTATCTGACTTTGTTTTTATGAACCCAAGCCCGTAGTTAAGTATCAATTAATTTCTATATGTTCTATGATGTTTCAGAAATATTCTATTTTCTAACCCGCATAGTCCGCCATAGAATGAAGCGACCTAGTTTCTTATCGAATGTAAACGCTAAAAATTAGAGATGTTATCTTATTATTTTTGTACGGTATGTCTATAAATTTGGGATATATATTCTGCATTTACAATATCAAATGAAATTTATCATATTCTAAGGGCTAAAGTTGCAATAAAAAGGATA